CCTCCCAAGTAGCTGGGACTACAGGCACCTGCCACAATGCCCAGCTATTTTGTTGTTGTTGTTGTAATTGTCATTGTTGTTTAACAAGTCTGGGCCAAGCTCAAGCCTGTTAGCCTTGGTGTATGTGGCCAAAACCCTAACCACTGAGTTATGGGCACTGAGCCAAAATTCTATTATTGATTTGACTAATGAAACTAATTTAATTATGAAAACCACTTTCTGGTTAACCAAAGCATGGCAATAAAACCAAAATATTAAGATGATGTTGTGATTTAAATTAAGTGAATATTGCCTTTTAGGCCGAGTTGTGGCTCACACCTGTAATCCTAGCACTTTGGGAGGCCAAGGCGGGCGATTGCCCTGAGATTACTGGTTTGTTACCAGCCTGAGCAAGAGCAAGACCCCTGTCTCTAAAAATCTAAAAATAGCCAGGCATTGTGGCAGGCGCCTATAGTCCCAGCTACTTGGGAGGCTGAGGCAAGAGAATCGCCTAAGCCCAAGAGTTTGAGGTTATTGTTAGCTATGCCTCCACAGCGCTCTGCCAAGGGTGGCAAAGTGAAACTCTGTCTCAAGAAAAAAAAAGAATATTGCTTTTTAGTAATCTAAGGATGCCTAGCTTTAAGATAATAAAATAAGTCTACATAGATATGGGAAAGACATCCTTACAACCCTGACAAGAGTACAGTCATTTTGGGAAACAGCTGGTGAGAAAAAAAGCAGGCCAGAAACCAAACTGATCACAGCAAACCCCTTCCCCACTCCCTGAAATGCTGCACAGCATTGTTCCAGGGAAACATCAGAACAGTGATTTTTACTCTGGCCTTAAGGGAGTAACTCCAAGATTCTCTTTTAGTACAAAAATTAGTCCCTCAGCAAAAGGGATGACTTCCTCTAGGGAACCCCCTCCCACATTCCAACTCTACTGATAAGGGAAAATAAAAACCTATTGAGACTAACTGTGTAAAGGCTGAACTGGCTTCTGGTCAGACTCCATTCTGCATTTTCTCTTTTTCTGCTAAATAAAGCCTTTCCAATTCCTAGACTGGCCTCCTCTCCTTATAGTCTCTTCCCGCTCCCCCCCGCCCCCCCCCACTATACTCTGTATAAACATCTAAATACCCTCAAATATGTAAATATATCAAAGTATTTTGACAGTTACCTATGTCTTTAATAAGACCAAATGAAAGGCATGTTTCAGTATTTATGATTAGGCTTAGTAAATCCTGTAACCAAGTATGGCAGTTGCTTTTCATTGTAAATGTTTTTTTTTGTTTGTTTGTTTGTTTGTTTGTTTCTGGAGACAGAGTCTTACTTTGTTGCCCTCAGTAGAGTGCCCTTGCATTACAGCTCACACAGCTCACAGCAACCTTAAACTCTTGGGTTCTAGTGATTGTCTTGCCTCATGCTCCTAAGTAGAATAGCTGTGACTATGGCACTATAGGCACTGGCCACAATGCCCAGCTATTTTTAGAGATGGGGTCTCACACTTGCTCAGGCTGTCTTGAAGGCCTAAGCTCAAGCAATCCACCTGCCTTGGCCTCCCAGAGTGATAGCAGTAAATGTCTTTTTTTAAACATCATTAGTTGCAGGGGAAGTGGTACGTGAATAATTTCCTATGTGACCAAATCTCAGTTGCTTAAACAAAGTATTAATACAATGATGAGGAAAATTCATCTTAAAAATACAAATATATATTAATCTTAATAGCTAGCTCTTTAAAATGTTTTTATTTATGTAATGATTTTTGTTCTTCCATTTAATTTTAATGTGGACACCTGACTTATGACTGATTTTTTTTTTTAGAGACAGAGTCTCACTTTGTCACCCTCAGTAGAGTGCTGTGGCATCACAGCTCATAGCAACCTCCTCTTGAGCTTAGGCAGTCCTCTTGCCTCAGCCTCCCAAGTAGCTGGGACTACAGGTGCCCACCACAATGCCTGCCTATTTTTGTTGCAGTTGCCACTGCTGTTTTAGCTGGCCGGGGCTGGGTTTGACCCCGCCACCCTCAGTAAATGGGGCCAGCGCCCTACCCACTGAGCCACATGCGCCACCCATGACTGATTCTTTTATGTTTGATATACTTACCATTTTCTCGTGTTCCCATTCCTATCTGATCTGTTCTTGTTTTAAGATATTAAAATAACATTTTCAGAATCCTGTGCTCTGAAGATTATAAATTTTAATTTACTTCTTCATATAAAACAGAGCAGATGGCCAGTGTGGAAAGAACATTATATCTGACTCTATTTTAGTGGGGAAAAACTTAAAGAAGTTGGTCTCTAAAGAGTATAGTACAGCACCTGTGTTTAAAAAAAAATGTCAGCCAGTCTTGGGTTTTATCATAAATTGCAATCCTTAAAAATAGGAGTTTTATATAAGAAAAGACAACCAACTTATGATACATGCTTGCAATTCCTCAGCTATGATATGCCATGGGACTGGATGCCAAAGTATGAAAGGAGAAGAATTTAGCCTAAAAACGAACACTGAAAAATGTTTTTTTAATACAAAAATAAGGAGGGATTATGTTTAGAACTCAGATCTGTTCATGTGTTAACCAAACATAGCACCATCCAAAAATAAATTAGATTCCCATAGATTCTTTAGTTATTAAAAAAGTAAATACAGAAAAGATGAATACTGAAGATTCATGACATTCAGGTATATATTTTCCTGCCACATATAATATCTTATTTTTAGATTGAGGACATTTGCCCTTATAGGAATGTTAATAATGTATTGCCATTTTAGGAAAACATAATACTTAAGGTTAGAGGAAACAAATCAAATACTTCCTGGCACTGTAGCTCAAGTTACATATCTCACTGAGAAATTGAAGGGTTTTTTCTTTCTTAAATATCTGAACACAAAATCCTATACATTCTTAACATGCAAGCCCCATAAAAGGATATCTTTGAAGGAAGAGATAGATATTTCATCCTTACTGAATACTTCTATGAGGGAGGGAAAAAAATCTAACTTCTGAAGTTTATTTATTTTTTCTTTTTTTTTTTTTTGAGACAGAGTCTCACTATGTCGCCCTTGGGAGGGTACTGTGGCATCACAGCTCATAGCAACCTCAAACTCCTGGGCTTAAGTGATTCTCTTGCCTCAGCCTACCAAGTATCTGGGACTACAGACACCCACCACAACGCCCAGCTGTATGTTTTTTTGTTGCAGTTGTCATTGTTGTCTAACAGGCCCGGGCTGGCTTTGAACTCACCAGCCTGGGCCTATGTGGCTGGCACCCTACCCTCTGAGCTACAGGCCCTGTCCTAACCTCTGAAGTTTTAAGTCTTATGACTAAATTTTTGTATTTGGAGAGGGGAATACAAAATATCTTCTCATTCTTTCTATGTTTTACATTAACTCTTAAAACATTTTTTGTGGGCTCGGCGCCTATAGCTCAACCGGCTAAGGCGCCAGCCACGTACACCTAAGGTGGCAGGTT